TATTCTCCCATTAAACCTGCCTGGGAGATACTCAGCTTGGACCAACCTAACTTTCTTTATGCTAATGTCTAGCTCGCTAGAAAACAATCAGCAGTGGGACAGATGCTTGCTACAGTAACTTCAGATCCTGTGGCCTCAGGGGGATCCAAATCCTCCTTGGCAATCCTTATGGCTCCATCGAGGTCAGCTGTTTCTCCTGTTCTCCAAAGGAGCAATCTTAAACCTTCATCACTTTCCTTAAACTTCTTCCCCCATCATACTCCCCATTCCTTGCAGATAATTTGTCTCCTAATTCTCAGGAAATAACCAAAAAAATCATACTAGGACATTCTAAATCCCCCCTGCCTATCCACAGATCACACTGTTATCCCTGCTCATCATCCTTCCTCCTGCAGAAAGGGGTTCCACTTTTGTGTTGGATCCAATCCCTCATCATCTCAGAGACCTTGAATCTGCAGTTCTCTCTTTCTCTCTTATGTCTTCTATCCCATCATAGTGCCTTCTTCCTGTCAGCATTTGAAAAAGTCTCCATTGTCTTTAAATACACTCCCTTCCACACCTTCAGTACATTCCCACAGCCTCATCCTGTCCCATTCCCTTTCATGAATCTTGCCTCTTCCCTAGCACTGACTAATTTGCTAAGAGTTGTATTCACTCATGATTGCCATTTCCTGGCTTTCTGCTCACTTTTCAACCTGTCACCCCTGATCTCTGCTCCCAGCACTCCCTGCAAGGGTCTTTTCTGGTAGATCCAAAGGAGTCCTTGTTTGGGAATGTCCTCTGTTACTTGACCTTTTAGAAGGATTTAATGCTGCTGACTGCTCCCTCCTTAAGCATGTTCTCCCCTTGGCTTCCTTAATGTCAGAACTCAGAACTCCATAGCCACTCCCCAGTTTCTGTTGTCCAACTCTTCAATACAGGTATTTCTCAGGATTCTATCCAGGACCCTCTTCTTATCCCTCCACGTTACAATCTTGCTTGTAAACTTCAGAACAGTATATTCAGCAGCCTGCTGGTCATCTCCGCTAGACGCCTCTCAGGTATGTTAGAATCAGCAATCTCAAACTGAACTCCAACTCTTCTCCCAAACCTCTTGTCCTTCCTTGTCAGGGTGAGCAGCAATAGCATCTGCACTGCAGCCTGAGCCAGAGAGTCCTGAAAGTTATTGTTGACTCTTCCCTCTCTCACCGACTTTATATCCAGATCATCACCAATCCTGTAATGCTGGTGAGGCTGGTGAGGTGAAAGGAATGTGGATTTTGGTTAAAATTCCAGTTCTAATTGTGGTTCACACAAACTACTTAACCTTTCTCAGCCTCAAGTTCCTCATCTGTTTAAAGGAAATAGTAATACCTAATTCAAGTGGTTGTCAGGATAAAGGAAAGCCTTTACTTGGTAGGTGATAATGGTTTGGCTCTGTGTCCCCATCCAAATCTCACCTTAAATTATAATAATCCCCACATGTCGTGGGAAGGACTGTGGGAAGTAATTGAATCATGGCGGTGGGTTTTCCCTGTGCTGTTCTCGTGATAGTGAATACGTCTCACGAGATCTGATGGTTTTATAAATCAGAGTTCCCCTGCACAAACTCTCTTGCCTCTCACCACATAAGACTTGCCTTTGCATCTCCTTTGCCTTCTGCCGTGATTGCAAGGCCTCCCCAGCCATGTGGAATGTGAGTCTATTAAATCTCTTTTCTTTATAAATTACCCAGTCTCAGGTATTTCTTTATTAGCAGTGTGAGAACAGACATAGAGTAGGCATGTAATAAGTATGAGTCCTCCATTCAGTAAACATGACTGGTCTTCTGTTCCAGTCTTCTCTCTCCTCCACCACATCACCACTTCTACTGACTTGCCTTGTTGTGTACATAGTTTCCTGACTTTGAGGATCCCCCTGCAATTAGATTTCCCACAGTTCCTTCATGACTAAGGACTACAGCTTCTGTCTGATCACTTGTTTTTCACCTGGTCATGGGAGATACAGCATTGAGTGGGGTCTGGGAGGCAGATTCCAGATGTCACTGGCACATAGATGTGTATGTATTTCCAAGTCTTATCTCTTAGCTGTCTCCAACACTTCATCTGCACTGCACCTCTGTAGGCCAGATCCTTATCGTCTCATTGGGCCACTGCAACAGCCGCCTCTAAGGCCTTTCTCCCCGCCCTCTCCCACTTCAGCCCTTTTCTACCTGACCGTCAGAGCTGGTCTTTCTGCCCTGAAACCTGCCATGGCTTCTCTTTTCTGGTGAAATGAAGTTCACACACTCCTACGTGTAGCCTGCCTTGCCGGCTCATCTCCTTTGCGTGCTCGTGCCAGCCCAGTGGGTAAGTTCTCTCTCACCCAGTGCCCTCTTGGGAGCAAGAAGGATAGGAGCAAAAAGGATGCTTAGATACAGTTGAGAAGCTGCATACTGTACTTCCTGGGTCTAGTGGCTAGTAGGACAGGCATAAGACACTCAGCTAAGACCAGCCATCCAGAAAACAGAGACCAAAGACACAGGAAACCCAGGAGGGCTTAGAATTCTGTAAGAAAGAATTGGCAGTCCTAAAATAAGGAGGAAAACATATTAGTCTTCTATCAAAGCAATGTATGCTTATAAAGAATTTGGAAAATGCAAAAAAGGTAATCACCTGGAACTTCTCACCTAGTGATAGCCACTGTTGCCATTTAGGTATGTTCCTTCCAAGTCTTTTTTTTTTTTTTTTTTTTAAGACAAGAGCCTCGTTCTGTTGCCCAGCCTGAAGTGCATTGGTACAATCTTGGCTCACTGTAACCTCCACCCCTCAGGTTCAAGCAATTCTCATGTCTCAGCCTCCCGAGTAGCTGGGACTACAGGATCAGCTAATTTTATGTATTTTAGTAGAGATGGGGTTTTACCATGTTGCCCAGGCTGGTCTCTGAGCTCAGGCAATCTACTGCCTCAGCCTCCCAGAGTGCTGCGATTACAGGCATGAGCCACCACATCTGGCTTCAGTCTTTCTTCTAGGAAGTCTTTGAACTTTTTTACATAGTCTTCATGGTACACTGTATAATCACGTGCACATCCTGCTTTATCTCATCTGTCCAATGTATTTTTCCTGGGTTAGTAAAAATTCTTCCTAGGCAACATAACAACTGCCTGCTACTCCATGTGTGCCTACAGGATGGTTTGTTTAACCTTCTGCTATTGCTAGACTTTTTAGTCTTTGCAATAAATAACACTGGGGGGAACCGTTCTGCAAATAAAACTTTTCTTCCTACATTTCTGATAATTTTTCTAAACTATAAATCCATAACTTAAATCACTGAGTCAAAGGATATGAAAATTTCTAAGCAATGCAGACTCAAAATGGGCAGAATGAATATAGACCTGACCTCAGCTGCAAAGAGAGAGGTAAAGAGAAAAGGGTTGTAACTAATAGATGCTTTTAAAATTATTTTTTACTTCACAAAGGAGAGGGCTGGGAAGATTCAAGTGGTGCTCCGTAGGGAAAACATGCCTTTAACTTGAAGTTTCTGGCTTCATGATGGTCAAGAAGGGCTTGTTTCTGCTTTTGTATTTTCATCTGGGTCAGTGAGAGGACAAACCATTCCTATGAGTTCCTTTCCCACTAAGGAAGAGGAAAGTCGTCCAGTATCTAATGATGCAGATCATTAGTTGTGTTCACAGCCTTGTAGTTAAAAAAAATTTATAATAATGTATCCTCCTAATGTGCAGTTAATTTTAGTTAAAATTTCCCTGGTGCTTTAAAAACCCAGTGAATTAATAAACATAGTAATTGGCTTGCATTTGGAATATTAAAGCTGTCATAACCAGCTGGCTCTGGCAAGACATGCTGCACCTCCCTGAGCTCTGTTGGGAGTTCAGCACTCACCTGAGCACTGCTCTCTGGAATCCAGAAAGAAACCAAGGCCTTACCAGCCCTCCTGTTCCTGGTCTTCCATAACCGAAGAAAGCTAATGAGCGTCTCAAAGTTAACCTGTCCAGAGTCAAATTTCTGACTCATCAGTCCTTAAATTCAGTCTTTCTCTCAGCACCACCTGGCCGGTGATTTGGATTCAAAAGCTTGATTTCTTTCTTTCTTTCCTTGCCACTGCCAGCATCAAATCCACCAGCATATTCTGTTGATTCTACTTCTAAAATGTGTCTCCAGTTGTCCATTTCTCTCCCTCTAGTCCCAGCCCTCGGCCACTCCCTGACTCTGTAGTGGCTGTGTCCCACAGGATGTCGCTCCTGCTCTGTGGTCTGTGGTCTGCAGTTGGCGCTGTAGCCAGAGGGATCTTGCCGAAATAGATTTCTGATGACCTCATCCACTCCTTCTTTTTCTCTTCTTTGCTGTTAAGGTAAAGGCCAAAAATTAAAAATTCCATTGTGGCCAAGAAGGTCCTGCCCTGAGTCACCCACCATGTACCTGGATCTATCAGGGCCTAACTTCACTAGCCATCCTGCAGTTCCTGCAGCTCCTGCCCCAGGGCGTCTGTACGCACTGTGCTCTCTGCCCAGGAGAACCCTCTCCACTCCCCGCTCCTCCTGATTCAGAGGAGCCTTCCCTTCTACCTGTTCTATCCAGGTCAGGCTCTTTACTTTTATAGAATAATGGGGATTTTTTCTTGCTTCAGAGAACCTATTTTAATTTGAAGTTCTACACATGTATACATATTCATTGGTGTGACCATTTGATTGCCATCAGCCTTCTCTGCTAGACGGTAAGACCCATGAAACAGGCTGCTGTCACTGTTCTTTCCCTGTCTGCTAGCTCATGTCTAGCAGAAGGTAGGTGCTTAATAAATGTATTGATTGTATGCTGAGTGACCAAGTAGAGTCCTGGTGATAGTCATCATTGATGATGAGGTCCCTGTAAGGTGTGGGCTCTTCCCAGAGAAGGCAGGCCCAGGTTCTCCACAACACATTGACTTGAGGGAGTGTGACTTTGCTTGATTTTATTTTTTCATTTCAGCTATTGGAGCAAATAGAACATGCTGCCTAAAATTTATTTTTCTCTTCTCTCTCTGTTCAGCTAAAGCTTGCTTTCACTCTGGACCATGAGACCGGATTGCCTCAAGGATGTCATATCTATGAGTACCGCGACAGCAACAAGTAAGCCACTCAGTGGGAAAGAGTGTCACTTCCTGTGTGTGCAGCAGTGGTGCCTGCGGGCTTTCTGACACTGGGCTTCCATTGCTAGGTGGTTTTCAGGAAGGGAATGACACCTTTTACTACTGCACTAGAAAATAGCCGCCGCAGAAATAGTCCTCTTATAAGATCTCTTTGCCCCTGAGTATAGAAGTTGGAGTGTTGTAGAGGAGCAGCTGTGGTGTGATAGAAGCAGATTCTGAAGCAGACCTTCTTCCAGGCTCCAGCCATCCCCCAGACCCTCCCCACTCTTAGTCTCCAGTCCTGTGCCTGCTTGTTTGGTTCACTGTGTGACTTCGGCTTTGTTGCAGTTGTCCAGTTGCTATCTGTCTACACTTAGGTTTATGGGTTTTGTTGTAATTGTCTACCTTGTGAATTTTATATTAATAGTTGGGAGATTTCTGGGTGCTTACAGAGATTTAAATTGGTGGCCTTGTTAAAAAGGTGGCACCTGGCATAATTTCATAGTGCCTCCTTTCCACATCACAGACTGCCTCATTTTTGTTTTCCCCTGAGACGGGGTCTTGCTCTGTCACCTAGGCTGGATTGCATGGTAGAATCATGGCTCACTGCAGCCCGAAATTCCTGGGCTCAAGTGACACTCCTACCTCAGTTTCCCAAGTACCTGGGACACAGGTGCATGCCACCACACCCAGCTAATTTTTTAAAATTTTAACAGAGACAAGGTTCTCCCTCTGTTGCCCAGGCTGGTCTTGAACTCCTCAGCTCAAGCGATCATCCCACTTCAGCCTCCCAAAGTGCTGGGATTACAGATGTGAGCCACTGCACCCAGCCACAGACTGCCTCCTTGACCTTGTATTTTTGTTTGTGAAACAGTGAAAGTGGTGGTGAGTGAAACGCAGGGGATGTGCCCTGATGATGATGGTGATGGTAATGATGGCAGCCACCACTGAGCATCTCCTGTGTGTTAGGCACAGTACTGAGGGCTTAACATTTGTTATCTCGCTTAACCCTCATGACAGCCCTGAGTGTGTTCTTTTATTATTGTCATGTTTGCAGAAGCTAAGGTCAAGGGAACTAAAGTAATTCACTCGGGGTAACTTGCCACAGCTGTGAGAAGCAGAGTCAACATTATGTTTACTCTGAGGAAAGAATAGATGGAAAACAGTTGACCCATAGTGGTACTTAGAAACCCCAGTCAATGACAAGAGCAGTCCCAACCTGGACTTGAGGAGAATGTAGTCTAGAATGTACTCTGGTCTTATTGTCTAAATATCTAGGCTGTTTATACAGTGGAGGGAAACAAACAGGTGCGTGCCAGTAAAACTGTATATTACCTTCCAGAAGAGAAACGTCAAGACCTCTTGCACTGTTACGGGTAGAAGATAGGCTACTGGCTGATGTCATTACCACATCTCCATTGAGAGTACCTTCAAGACATGATAACTCTTTGTAATTTATTTTTAGGAGAACTCCATAGTAAGCTATTGTGTACCCCTAATTAATCATAGGAAGGATTGACCAGACATCCTTTAACAATTCTGATTGGACTCTCTGCTCTTTGGGAAAAGGTTGCAGAGTTTTTGTTCAATGGGAGAAGGGCACCAGCTCTCTGTCCTTTAAGTTTATGTCTTAGCTGTTCACATATCCAGTAGCAACAACTTAGATTGTCTTTGACTGTGAGAAGAGAAAATAGCCTAGCTCTTTATATATATATATATATATATATATATATATATATATTAGAAACAGTGTCTCGTGATGTTGCCTAGACTGGTCTTGAACTCCTGAGCTCAAGCCATCCTCTTGCCTTAGCATTCCAAAGTGCTGAGATTATGAGATTATAGATATGAGCCACCATGCCTGGCCTAGCTGTGTGTCTTGGTCTATCCATAGCTCCTAGCATATTATCAGACCAAGCAATGTAAGAAGATAACTTAGGGTTTATAAATATGAATAAGTTTTGGCTCCCAAAAACCTATAAAAGAAAGTATATGTGTAGGAAGTCAGATAGGAGCCATGATCTAGAAAAGTATGGTGATCAAACACTTCAGTGACTGCTCTCTCTGGTTCTCTCTTACTTGTATTAGAGTCAGTCTTAGGGTTCATTCTCGATCCTTAGACAACTTTCCTAACCTCTCTGAGCCTCTAGTTTCTTTCTTTTTCTTTTTTTTTTTTTTGAGACGGAGTCTTGCTCTTGTCATCCAGCCTAGAATGCAATTGTGCAATCTTGGCTTACTGCAACCTCCGCCTCCCAGGTTCAAATGATTCTCCTGCCTCAGCCTCCTAAATAGCTGGGATTACAGGTGCCCGCCACCACACCTAGCTAATTTTTGTATTTTTTAGTAGAGTTTCACCATGTTGGCTAGGCTGGTCTTGAGCTCCTGACCTAGGTGATTTGCCTGCCCTGGCCCCCCAAGTGCTGGGATTATAGGCGTGAGCCACTGTGTCTGGCCTGAGCCTCTAGTTTCTTGATCTGTTCAAAATAGTGGAATTAATAATGCCTCTCTGGCAGGATTGCATGGGGCTCTCTAGGCGGGATGTCATGTTGAAGTGTGTCATCACCAGCCTCACGTATAGAATGCCTCTCCTTCCCAAAGAGAAAAACTAGCTCATGACTTCCATTTTCCCAGAAAGTCTGCAGCTAACAGCGTACTGCTGAGGGAAGAGGCTGGTGTACCTGCCATTCACAACCTTCTGTTGTGTATGACACTATCAAAGGCAGACTCCTGCCGGGCGCAGTGGCTCACGCCTGTAATCCCAGCACTTTGGGAGGCCGAGGTGGGCAGATTACCTGAGGTAAGAAGTTCGATACCAGCCTGGCTAATATGGTGAAACCGCATCTCTACTAAAAATACAAAAATTAGCTGGGCATGGTGGCAGGCACCTGTGATCCCAGCTACTTGGGAGGCTGAGGCAGGAGAATCGCTTGAGCCCAGGAGGCGGAGGTTGCAGTGAGCTGAGATCGCACCATTGCACTCCAGCCTGGGTGATAGAGTGAGACTCTATCTCAAAAACAAAAAACAAAAACAAAAACAAAATCCAGAAGTATTAAAAAAAAAAAAAGAATAAGAAGAAGAAGAAGAAGGAAAAAAAGGCAGACTCCTCTCCTCACTTATGAGTTGTGAAGCATGGAGGACCCCACAATCCTGACTATGGCTTCTCTTCTCCCCCAGACCCTTCCCTGCCTGTGTTCTCTGTTTCCATTTATGGTCATTTTCCCTAAAACACCTGAATCCAAATATTGGTGTGATAGTGGCATTTAGGAAATGAAGATATTCAGCCCAGACCCTTGTCTCAGGCCAAGTAACGTGAAGGCAACACCAGCAGAGAGAGGAAATTCTACAGATGAAAAAGCTAGCTTGAATATTAGTTTGATACAACTGATTATTGAAATTACTGCTTTTCCCTTTTGGATATTCCCTTCAGTACAATTTATAATCATTTTAGCATTCATCTCTGTTTGCCATATTCAATCCGTTAGCAAAATTGTTCTGAATAAGTGCTGAGGCTGTTGGATAGTTCTCCCAAATAGTCTTTGCTTTCAAATGGAATGGCCTGGAAAATGGGCACTCCATTTTTATATTTTCTGGATTCTCTTAGTCCTTGGTTAACTGGATTCAATAACAAAAGCAGGTAAAGTTTTCTGCAACAGAGAAAAAGGAGGTGGACCTCGGATCCATGGGTGGTGCCTGATAGCTTTGATTCTTGGCTCTATGTCATCCTGTTCTCCTTTCATATAAAGGGGCTAATGTCTGCCTCTGGGGTTCATCTCTGATGTGACTTGAACCTGACTTCTCTAAGGCTAGAGGCACAGTCTCAGGTTAACATTCTTAAAGCTCTGAGGTCATTAGAAGAAAGCAAGAAGCTGTCCTATTGTGTCTTGTGTTCAACTAGTAAAGCTTTCCACCTTGAATTATTTTATCAGCCTCCCAAAAGCTGTTCCAATCTGCCTCTAAGAGGTGTGAGGTCTCACCTGAGCCCCCTGGCAGATACCACCATTCACCACCTGTAGACCCAAGGGCCACCTTCTTTTTTTTTCTCTCTTGCAGAAAACATTACCTGTCTTTAATTCTAAATCCAGTTAATCATGGAGTGATTGAGAGCCGTTGTCAAATTGAAGTTTGGAGGTCTCTTGTTACAGGACAAGGAAGAAGGCCTTCAAGAGTGAATAAGTGATTTGTGAGAATTCAGTTACACATTTATGAAGCCCCTGTTCTGTACAGTGGGTTACGTGGGAGAGGCAAAGATATATTAGACCCAGTGCATGACCTCAGGGTTTGTGTAAGTAGCAAAGCACACTCCAGTACCCTGTGGGATGGCGTGCACCTTGGCAGTAGTAGGAATCAAGTGCTGTGACAGTGATGATGAGGAAGGTGAATGTGTTTGACTTTGGAGTTGCTCTGTGGTTGGTGGTGACCTTCACAGACAAGGGGCTTTGTCCAGAAGGCTCCTTTCTCTCGATCCCCACTGCTACCCTCCTTCTTACTGCCAGGACTGTGGAGCTGCTTTGCAAGCTATTTTTCTTGTTGTTAGCTTGTTGGTCTCGGGGCTACCCTCTCTGCACCGTGAGTGAGCGTGTGTATCTTTTCCTTCTGGTTGCTTTTTAGACCTTATTTTTATCTTTGGTGTTCTGCAGTTTTACTACATTATGTCTGAGTGGATTCATTTTTAGTTGTATTGTTTAGGACTCAATATAGTTCTCATTTAGAAATTTTTATCTATTATCTTTGAATCTCTTTGGTTCTCTCTAATCTCTCCTTCTGGAACTTGCTAGAAACCCACTATCTTATTTCATCTTTCCTCTCTTTTTCTGTTTCCGTATCTGTTAGTGTTGCGTTGTAGGAAGCTTCCTCAGAAGTGTCTGTCACTTTCTTCTCCTCGTAGCAGTGTACTATCTCCTGTTTAATAACCCTTCCCGATACGAATGTTTTAATTTAATTTTATTTATTTACTTATTTATTTTTTGAGGTGGAGTCTCACTCTGTTGCCCAGGCTGGAGT